AAGAAGCCGTGTTGGCCTACAAACAAGCCATGGATTTGATGAAGGGAACCTCTTCCAGTCATCCACAAAAGATGTCTTTGGAACGCACCATGGCTCGTCTTACCAGAACGTAACAACACGAGACCATGATTGTACTACTGCCATGTATGGGTGAGATGACGATGACCGATCCCTACCTACTACCTAGAATGATATGAAACAAGAAGACTTAGAATGTAATAATATATAAGAAAGAATATACAATTAGGACTATCCAACCAAACAGCTTATTCCATGACTACATTCTCAATGACACCTCTAGCTAGTCCTAACAGGAGAAGATGGATTGTAATCGATGGTATTACCAGTACATCAGAATTCACACCATCAGTTTCAAGTTTTCCTTACCTCCGGTTCGTACCACCAGTCCCGGTTTGGGCAATATGGATTTTCAAATGGGAACTGTCGCAGGGACTAATAAGACTGACTGACTGACTCACTCCCGACTGACTGACTGACTGACTGACTGATTGACTCCCGCCTTTTGATTTCTCTTGCTCCCGCGTTGGGCTCAAAACGGAACGTCGGTCCGTCAATCCTTTTTCCTTACTTGTGACTTGCTTGTGCTGACCGTTCGCCCATTTCCTATTGCTCGCAGGCCGATCAACGCCCGCCCGTCAAAATAAAAATAATTCGTGTCGTGGGGAGTGAGTCGAAAGTAGATCTGCTTGGATCGATCGATCATCGCGATCGATACACAGTAGGAGACAAGAATAAGTCCAGCACCCGTCATCACGTACGGTCCGCAGCAAAACCAAGAAACAACTGTGACTACAGTAACAAACAACACTAACTACAACACACAATAAAAGTTGCAAGGGGAAGAACATTCAAAAATGTCCACAGAAGAATCCTCTGCAAGTGCGTCTGCTACACCAACAAACGAATTAGAAAAACATCATGGTGATGATGATGATGGCAATCATAATGACAATAATGAAACCGAGAATCACAAAGACATTGATTTCTTGCAAGCCAAATGCTCGCTCCTCAAAAATCAATTAGCCTTCTTACGAAGCCAGCAGAAACAAAAGAAAGAACAACGCAAGAAGGAAAAGGGAGAAATCGTTTCCACCTTCAAGAGCATGAAGGGATACATTGACAATTTGGAACGCGAAAACAAACAATTCAAGGCCTTGTTGGCACCAT